CCATCAATGTAATTGATATACCTCTCCAAGAGGCAGTAGCTAGGTCGATGGAATTCTTCTATCGACCCAGCCACATCTACTCCGGTGTGTTGGGGATTTCTACCATTTTGTTTTCTTGTTGTCTTTTACCCTCCATTTATACTAGCTGTCTTGTTGCTTGGTTTGGTGCTCTTTTTGATTGGACAAGATTAAAGGAAGGTTCCAGGGCAGTTAGCAGGATACAGCAGCAAGTACATCCAGACAACCAAAGCTGCAGGAGCAAGAGGAAAGTTTGCGCTGACAGGGCCAAGCTCTACCACCTCCCTCTTATGTGGCACCCATCAGTAATGGGGGCCAGTGGTACATATCACCATGCAGGGAAAATTTGGAAAGATTAATCAAGTAGCATTAATTGATACAGGTGCCACTCATCTGTACCAAAGCAGCTCCAAAGGCCAAAGAATCTCCTGTACAAGAAGAAGAGTCTAGAAGGGTACAGTGGGAAAGAAAGCGTTGTCCCCTTTTTGAAACTCATTACATGTACAATTGGCAAATTGATTACCGAGGCTACATTCAGAATTCAAGCTCTAGATGGGCACAGTATTGTTGGCATGGACATCTTGAAAAGGCTGAATTTGGTGGTTGACCTACCCAACAGAATGCTAACCCAAGTTAAGGATAGAGAATGAGGCTTCACTGTCCCCAAATCTCACAGGGTTGCAGCCTTGAAGGCCCCGGAGAAGATGGAAATACCCAGAGGGAGGAAGCAGTCATGAAGGTAACAAACCTGTACCCTAAAGCTTTTGCTACCAATAAGCTCTAATGTGGAAGAACTGAGGCTGAGGTGATGGCTGTGGGTCCGGATCCCAAACCCCAGAAGCAATCCAAGTATTCTTGGGAAGCTGAGGAGGGGATCAAGGACACCATCAGTACTCTCATGAACCAAGGAGTATTGGTTGAGACTCCAAGCATCTGCAACTCTCCTATTTGGCCTGTTTTAAAAGCGGACAAAGTTATCTGGAGGTTAACAGTCGATTATAGAGAACTAAAGCGAGTAACACCAAGGCTAGTCCCAGTAGTAGCAAAGTTTCATGAAATAATGGTGGCCATTGCTGCACGTGCACAATGGTTCACCATTCTAGACTTAGCGAGCACTTTCTTTTCTATCCCATTACACCCAAGCGTATGGTACAAATTCACCTTCACATACAGTAATCGTCAACTTACCTTCAGCAACAGTACCATAACGCACCCTCACTGTGTCACAAGTTCATGTCCAAAATGTGGGAATAGCTTAAAGACAAAGAAAAAATTATAAGTTATGTGGATGACATCTTAATTTCCACTGTAGCTAAAGAGAAAAATTTAGGAGTCCTGGATGCTGTCTTAAATAAGGTACAAGAAAATAGCTTTATTATTAGTCCTACCAAAGCTCAGATGCTGCAACAAAAAGTACCATAGTTCGGAATGGAACTGGGCATACATGGACATCGACCAGATGCCAACAGGTTCAAATTAATTTGCCGATTGCCTATCCCACAAGACATATCAGCGTTGAGATCATTTCTGGGCCTCATTGGATTTTCCCGGGACTTCATGGAGGGGTATTCTGAAGTTGCACAACCCCTTTTGCTTTGCTGAGAAAGGGCCAGGAAGGACTTGGGGTGAAAAGGAGAGGGATGCATTTTTCCAGCTGAAGCAAGCCCTTGTCCAAGCACTGGGCATAACCTCAACCCAGCAAACCCTTTCAACTCCAATTAGCAACGACAGAGAAGGAACTGAGTGCAGTTTTGATGCAGGACAATGGAGTGGGACTAAAACCAGTTGCCTTTGTATCGAAGGCATTACGCAAAATTGAAAAACGATATTTGCCGTGTGAAAAAGAAGTGCTGCCACTAACATGGGTATTGAGGCACTGGGAAAACCTGATAGGTATGTCCCCTGTTGTATTAAAAACTCTACTAACTCACACGGAGGATACAAGTGTCAAGTGCCGTTCAAAGACCCTTATAAGCTGGAATCACCATTTGACTTGGAGACTTCATCTGAGCATGCCACAGAGTCTGAGAAGGATGTGTGGGTCGTAGATGGTAGCTGCCATTAGCACCAGGATACAAGGCTGTTAAACACCATCAGCAATGTGCAGAAACAGGTTGCCACTCAATTGAAAAGCAATGCCAGACAAATGGATAAAAGACTGGGTGATACATTAAAATTCAAAGAGTGGAAAGTGGGCGATAAGGTTCTTTATCATTTTTATTGACAAAAATCACTTACTGAGCCCTAAATGGGTTGAGCCAGTTGTCATCTTAAACAAAGTGAGCCCAACCACCTACCAGATGAAAATTAAGGGAAAAAGGAGAAGAACCATAAAGTGGTTCCATTCCACTCAACTAAAAAAAAAAAAAAAAAAAGAAGTGAAAGGATTTGGTCACTTAAGAAGGAAAAGGTTAGCCTGTCTCCCTTTTATTCCAGGAAGCTCAAGCTCAATGTACCATGCTTTTTATATTGTATTTAAGTATATCCATCTGTATAGCCCATTCTTTGATTGTTACTATTGCAAAGGAAATGAAACACAAAACTATATGTGGAATGAAACGGTGCATGGCACTGATTTCAAATGACCAAATATGTTGTTAAGGGGAATAATTACTGTGTACACCTATGAGGAGAATGATTATTGCCATTTAATATGGAAGAAAGAGACAAGCCATAAGTCATTAGTGGCCTTTATGGCAAATGGTGGACCTCTTAAGGCTACTTTTTATGACGACTCTAAGGAAGAGCAACTTTCCTCGGTCCATAAATTTGCCAATAGCTGTATATGGCAGTTCAATGATGATTTTCTGGACAGTTGTTCCAAGAGAATAGAAGTACTGGAGCCAGCAAAGTGCTCTTATATACAATCTAACCTCCTCACTAAAGTGCATATTGGAATAATCAATGTCAACATCACAATGGGTTTAGAATACATAATGAATCATGTTACTGCTTATTTGTATACCCCATCTTCTAAGTATGTAATCAACATGAAATGCCAAAATTCACCAAGACTTGTTCCAAGAAACACCCTATTATATATAGATTTTGTGATAAAAGTAATGTTACCTTTCATGTTAACTGTCATGAAAGTGTGTATATAAATGTAAGATCTAATGACACGGGCACCTGATATCTAACAAGTTTGTAAGGAATGTAAATATTGGGCCTGTAGTAGTGAAACAGGATGTTAAATGATTGTTACTAGTCAATCCCGTCTACTTGCTTAAGAAAGTCATCATGCCTCTACAGTTAACTTTGGCTGCGGTTCATTTAGAATTTTTACCTTTCATAGTTCCACTCATGGCAGATTGGAATGCATGGGTAAAGAGTGTGGTGCCGGAAGCATCTGCCCCTAGATGTTCCAGATGGAGTAACGTTGAAGCTTTTTATATTATTTGAGCCCATTTGGTTTCTAGTTGGGTCTAGGCTTTAAGCCTGCTTGTACTTGTTTACACCACCAAGCTATTCTATTTTTATTATCCTGCCTTGTTAATAAATCCTGTTGGCTTACCCCTTTAAGAGAAACCATTAAGAGGTAAACGGGTGGGGTCCACGCAGCGGGTCTTCTTGGAGTCGGGTTGCTTGGGAATGCAGCCCAAAGCTGGTGGTAAACTCCCTTTAAGAGTGATTAGTGTAATTTCTGAATGCAACCATAGGTGGCAGATCATAATTTGGGGGCTTGGGCCTATCTGGGAGGTGGGGTTCTTCATTTCTGGTAACAAGGGGTGAAGTCAACCTAACTACATCAAACAGGGCGCAAAATTTTTCAAAGCCCTGAGCAACACAACTACATTGATCTAATTTAAGTGTAGACCTGACCTAACAGTTGCTAGTGCATCTAAACAGAGATACCAATCTCCATTCAGAGGTCAGCATTCCATTTAAGTTACCAGCCTGGAACAGGGCCGCCCAGAGAGTGGGCAAGTGGCGCAATTTGCCCCAGGTCCCAGGCCCCGCAGGGGCCCCCACAACAGTTTTTCGGGGGCCCTGGAGCGGGGTCCTTCACTCGCTCCAGGGGCCCTGGAAAATTCTCGTGGGGCCTGGGCCCCCAGAACGTCTTAAGCTCCAGAAGACCCCAGGCCCCCTGAATCCTCTGGGTGGCCCTGGCTTGGAATTTGGCTAGGTTATTATTCATGCACTACTTACAGCAAGTTTGATGATTCAAAAATAAAGAAGTCCACAAAGTTCCTTCCCCAGCAAACTTACAGTCTAGTTTTCAGACAGGACAGATCAGACACAAGTAGTGCACAACCATTCAGGTATGCATGGAGGTGATGTAAAAATCTACCGGTAGCAGTGGTTTTAAATAACTGTGAAAGAATGTTTTGAAGAGGAGTTTGAAGAGGTGGGGAAAAGGAAGATTAATCCACCTACTGTTATGAATGCAACAGCAAATCCTTCTAGGTTCAGCAAACTCCCTTTTTAATTGGTTTTCTCTCCAAGGAACCAGTCAACACTCATCTTCAGGTCTTTGCTTTCAGAAGAGATCAAAACATATTCCACACTCAATACTGAGTGGATAATTTAGAGATAGGGTGACCAGATGTCCCATTTTTAAAGGGACAGTCCCGTTTTTTGGAACTTTTTCTTATATAGGCACCTATTACCCCCAACCCCCGTCTTGTTTTTTCCACAGTTGCTATCTGATAACCCTATTTAGGAACATGGGATGGAACCATAAGGAAAAGTGAAAGACAGTTTTTGGTAAGCAAAAATAGTGGGCCAGCTCCTCAGCCAATGTTAATTGGCATATCTCCATTGATGTCAAAAGAGCTATGCCAATTTACAGTAGCTGTGGTTTGTCCCAGTACTTTTAGGTAATTAGTAACTTCTTAACTAAGCCCTCAGGACTTCGTAAATTCCACAGCTATAAAGATCCCATGACTTTCTACATTCCTCAGATAGAGACAGTTTCTTTCCATGTGAAAGAATTTTTAAAATATTCCTGTATCACAGTCTCTCTCTCACACCCCACCCTTTTCAAATCTCCCTGTTCCCATCTCATCCACAACACATCATTTTACAAATTGCTTCCAACAAGAATCCCTAATTCCAAAGTTACACTGAGAGGAAGCCTTTTGGGGACCATCCCAATTCTGATGGATGTCAACAGCAAAAAAGATATTCACTTGGGGTAAGTTGGCATGGCTCCATTGAAGTTAATGGAGTGATGTTGATATATACCAGCTGATGTTCTGACTCAAAGTCATTTGAATGGTGAAAGATTAGGCCCCTAATGATTACAGAAAAAAAAAAGTGGGAACTTTGTAAAAGATTTTAAAAGGTGTCTTCGGTCAAACTTTCCTATCCCCCAATTTCTGTACATCAGGGGTTCTCAAACTGGGGGTTGGGAACCCTCAGGGGGTCACAAGGTTATTACATGGGTGGGGTCACAAGTTGTCAGCCTCCACCCCAAACCCTGCTTTGTCTCCAGCATTTATAATGGTGTTAAATATATTAAAAAGTGTTTTCAATTTATAAGGGGGGTTGCACTCAGAGGCTTGCTATGTGAAAGGGGTCACCAATACAAAAGTTTGAGAACCACTGCTGTACATTATGGTATCTGCTGGTTGTTGCCCATAAGCCACCCCAGAGCTTGCTGTATTTCAGTTGTGATTGTGCGTGTGTGTGTGTTCGTTCATTCTCAAAGAAAGGTTTAAAGATCAGTGTTTCAAAAGCTGTTTTGAAATAGACCAGACCCTGGAAAAACAATACTACAGAATTCTATACTTTTATAAAACAATGCATACCTAGCCCCGGGGGGCCACCCTGATAGAGGGAGGGATAGTTCAGTGGTTTGATCATTGGCCTGCTAAACCCAGGGTTATGAGTTCAATCCTTGAAGGGGCCCACTTAGGGATCTGGGACAAAAATCAGTACTTGGTCCTGCTAGTGAAAGCAGAGGGCTGGACTCAATGACTTTTTGGGGTCCCTTCCAGTTCTAGGAGATGGGTATTTTTTTTTAATATATGGAGATATCCTCACTGCCACATAATCCTTCCTCATCTATTGCCATGCCACCTCATTTCCATCTCTCAGCTAGCCCTAATTTTGCCATGCAAAAAATATATATGCAAAGATAAGCCACTAGGAAATTTTAAAATCCCATGTGCTGTTCCAGGGGTCTGCTACTAATAATTTATACCACAACATTAGTCATGCCAAATAGCAATATATTTTACTGGCTACACAATATACTTGATAATTCAGACTTGCAAGATCCGCATGCCTGTCACAAGGACTACTGCAGGTAACACCTGGTTCTGGGGCTTAGCTCTCTTCCAAGTCCAACACCATCCCTTGCAGTCTCTCAACCCATTGCTCTTTCTCACTCTGCAGCCCTTCTTTCACTCCAGGAGTTGCAGCTTCTTCTTTGTGACTCAACCCTCCAGCCAGGTCACTATGTGGTTTCCCCTTACAAGGTACAGAGTCTCACCAGACCCACTGTCCATGCAATGCCACTCCATCACTGGACAAGTCTGCACCCTACTTGCTGAGAATGTTGTTTCATATGCTCACCTTCTAGATGTGGGCTCTGAAGGAGAGTGTTCTGACAAGACTACCAGCAAGGTATACAGGATTTATGGAATGAGTAGATTTCATTCCAAGCCAGCTGAGGTTGAGTTCATGTTTGGCTTCTTGGTTTTTGAGATGGAATGTGTTAATTTGTCTTTCTGCTGGTGTTACTCACCATATGGAAGGGTGGTAGAATCTGGCCCCATGGAAAGAAAAAAAAAAAAAAGAAAGAAAATCTCACTAATTCTACCTGGGGGAAATGTCCTCTATCATGAGAAATCCTATTTTAATTTTAAACTTGTCCCCAAACAGATAGCCATTGCCAGTCATTACAATCATGTTCTGTCATGAACTGTTTTCCACAAACTCCAATAGCAAATTACATTATATCTGTGTTTTCCATTTTGGGGTGATTTATCTCAACATGCAGGAAAATTACTGAAGAATGAATAAATGCCAAGTGTCAGAGATAGCACACGCACAGTGACTCACTCTGTAAAAGTTTACCTCAGGCACAATAGCGGTAGCTTCACAGTTGCCCCTCCAGTAGCCAGCTTTAAAGGTGAAGTACATAACAAACAGAACATAATGTGCTTTTAGTTAGTTTGCTTTATGTAAATCACACTTTAACTCAATAGAAGCTTTAAAAGTCATCCCATGCCCTAAACCAGTATACATGAGACGAACTTCTATTTAAATCAATAGTTTCAGAGCTCACATATGGTCTTAGTGAAAGATTTATGTTTTTTATTTATTTATTCTTTCATTTTAAAAGAGGTTTTAATTTGTGTGTGTGTGTGTGTGTGAATTTAGCATTTGTTCAATAGGTTGGCTTGACAGCCTGGGAAAAGGAAGTGCTCTAGACAGTGTTTCCTAGGGCCTAAATCATCTGACTGAAAGTCAGGAGACCTGGGTTCTAATCCCAGCTCTGCTACTGGCTGACAGTAGACCAGCCACCCTAAGTTTCTCTAACTGTAAAATGGTGATGATGCCTGTCTCCTTTCTAAAGATCTATTGATCTGTTTTGAGATCTACTGATGGAAAGCACTGTACATGAGCTAGGTATTATTTACTCACTAAACAGGTACAGCTTGGGAAGTAGCAGTACAAGTTTCCACTCCATTAATGTGGTTCAAATCTGACACTGCAGTACTATCTTTAGGTTTCAGAGGGTAGCTCATCTCCATCTCAGTATAATCCAGGACCTCTTTCCAGACACTGGCAGCGGCCAATTAGGTCCCATTGTGGTGTTCTTTTTTGAGAGACATTTAGCTATCTGCCCACTGGGACCTGGACTGAGGCTACCAAACAGACACCAGATGGTAACAAAGTTCAGTCACAATGGGGGTGCACTTGACCCTTATTTTTTCACTTTTAACTGGGTATTTTAATATTAGAAAAGACAATGTCTTTAAAACAATGTGTTAGAGTCCAATCCAAAGCCCAGTGAAGGTAGTGGGGGCCTTTCCACTGAGGTGAATGGACATTGGACCAGACACTAAGTGCCTTCTGTTACAATTAGCTGAAAAATGCAGATTTTTTATAAACATTAGGGCCAGATCCTCAGCTACACAGTTTTACATCAGTGGGGGATTGGGGCCATTAAAGTGCTTGTTCTGAACTGTGGCTGCACAGTGTCAGAACATGGTCCCTTCATCATGAGTAACAACCTATTGCAGGAGCGGACTTGGGAACCCAGACTTCAAGATAAAGGAAACTGGACATTACGAGACTGGGTACAAAACAATTAAATCACCACCTCAACTACCCCTGAAGACAATGGAAGGTTTGCAACTGCTCCCTCACTTTCCCCACACCTCCTTCAGGTGCACAAATTTTGGCCACATAGCAGCTCTTCTGCAGAAGGACTGGTGGCAGCTATGCAGTGCCCTGGCAACACACCCTCTCCCCCCTTTGCACACCACTTCCTCAAACCCCGTTGCAGCATGATTCATGCCCAACTGCTCTGTGGAAAAGAGGGGAGCATGTGGGCTACTGTATAACAGCTGGGCATTGGGCACAGTCATCAGTGATTTTTCTCATTTCAAAGCATTCACAAGCTGCAATTACACTAAAAAGTCCATTGTTCACACTGTGGTTATATTACCATCATTGCAAAAGTGAAACAGAATTAAGCTTGCCTGTGCTCTCTTGACCTAGGAGCCAAGTATGTCTGGCTGTATCCCGAGCACTTAGACTCTGCTGTGAACTAATACAGCTTTATTTTCTCCATATTGTCTGGGCAGGGATAATGTCACTGCCTGACCGCACCAGCTACAAACACAAAACTGTCGTTACAACATGTCTCTCTTTCATGTGCTATATCTATGCAGCTTTATCTACTCAGCCATGGCCAGAGGCTACCAGACTAGAACAATGAAAACAGATCAGAATCACCAGAGAGAAGATAAATGGCCACTGACCGCCCCTGCTATGGCTCCCATTTTCACAGACTCGGCATGGTCTCATCCAAAGCCAATTTAACCAAGCATGATGTTGCTGATACGATCTCTCCAGCTGTTGGCAGGGTACTGGCCAGCCAAAACAGCAACTCCTGAAGAATAGCAAAGTGTCAGTCTGATGCTACTGGACAACACAGAGTCTTGCTTCTTACCTCTCTCACTTCACTTCTATAGGAGGTCCTACGTGAAAGCTGTTGATGACGTTTCAATATGCTGGCAATGGCGCTTGTTCCCCAGTTGCCTGCTCACATTCATAGTCAAGCCTGGGGTATTTGACAGAAACAACATTTTCAGGGTATAAGCAAATAATTTTAAGAGCTAGTCTTTAGAAATTTATTTCTCATAGTGTATCCAGAGAAAACAAAGGGATTAATTCTCAGATTAAAAATTCTCTACAAAATTAAAGAAATAGCCTGTCTCTCTCTCTGTGCTGTTGCACCAGGGCAAGAGAAAATGCAAGGAGTTACTCCCCAGTTCCCTCCACTCTCAGCCTACTGCCAGGCACAGCAGGAGTCCTTGCAGCTAGGCAGAGTAAGGATGGTCCAATCCTTTTGGTACAATTCCTTGTAGCGCTCCTGCTGGAGAAGGGAGCCCCGAAGAGGCTAGGACTTGGTGCTGGGCTGCACTTACAAAACTTTAATGACATAACTGTGTCAATTAGGGAGGTGATCTTTTCTGATATAGTTATGCCAGTAAACAACCTAGTACAGAAGCAATTATACCAAACCACAATAAGCTATAGACCCAGATTGCTTGGTAAGCTGGGTGCAAGCAAACAATGTGTGTTTTAACATGACTATATGTAAATTGGACAAAGAATGTAGGCCATACTTATGGAATGGGGGACTCTGTCCTGGGAAGCAGTAACTCTGAAAAAGATTTAAGAGTAAGGGTGGATAAACAGCTGAACATGAGCTGCCAGAATGACCCTGTGGTCTCAAGTAGAAGTAAAGAGGTTAGTTTACTTCTGTATTTGGCACTGATGCAAGCTCTGCTGGAATACTGCGTTCAGTTCAGGTATCTACAATTCAAGAAGGATGTTGAAAAACTGGAGAAGGTTCAGAGAAGAGCCACAAGAATGATTAAAGGATTAATGATAGACACAAGGTGCTCAATATGTTTAATTTAAACAAAGAGTAGGTTAAGGGGAGACCTGATCACAGTCTTTAAGTACACACATGGGGAAACAAATATTTAATAATGGGCTCTTCAATCTAGCAGCAAAAGATATAATAGGATCTAATGGTTGTAAGTTGAAGCTAAACAGTTCAGTCTGGAAATAAGGTGTAATTTTTTAACAGTGAGGGTAATTAATCATTGACAATTTATAAAGCAAGATTGCATCTTTGTCTAAAAGATCTGCTCTAGGAATTATTTTGGAGACATTCTATGGCCTGTGTGACTAGAGGATCACAGTGGTTCTTTCTGGCTTTGGAATCCGTGAGTCAATAGAAGCACTTTTATACCAGTATACCTGCATCTATGCTAGAGAAAGGTTTCTGCTGTAACTATGTTATAGTTAAAGTAGCAAAACCTAAGTGTAGACATGTTATTACATAGCAAGGGTGTATAACAGGGTCAGGATTTCACCCCTCTTCTTGAATTCAATGGGAGTTTTGCTACTGACTTCAGTGGGCCAGGATTTTACCCCAGGACTAGTCTATACTAGAAGAACTATATGGGGGAAGATTGCAAAGTGCCTCTCTGCCCAAAGCCTGTGCTATTAGTATGATCAGCACAGTTGTGTAATCAGTTTTATGTGCAATAAATTTAACACATACAATTATTTAACAAAAAAATAAAATATAGAAGGAGACATTTTCTATAAAATCACATACAAGTCTGCAGAACAATTTTTAAATGAAGTACACTATATGTAGATTTTAAAATGCTCCTTTAATAGTTAACTTAGGTGTGTTTTAATTAAATCTTCAGAAATATGAGTAAGTTAAACAATTGTTCAAGGGGATGCAGATTTTTACTCTTGCACCTGACATAAGGATCTGTTGACCCATGTTTTCTATATTCATATTATATTTTTCAATAGTCAGTTTGTTTACAACCATTTATCTAAGCTTTGAAGGGATATATTCAAGAAGGCACAATGAATAGTGTGACAAAATTCCTCCTCTATCTTGGTGGGTCCTGCACTTATTGGCAGATTTTCTTGCCTCAAGAGATTCACCATATGGGTTGGGGAACAGCCCAGAGACCTTCCCCTCTGGAAGAACCCACTGTCCAGGTCAATTGGGAGGTTTGGGGGGAACCCAGGCCCGCCCTCTACTCCAGGTTCCAGCCCAGGGCCCTGTGGATTGCAGCTGTCTATAGTGCCTCCTGTAACAGCTGCATGACAGCTACAACTCCCTGGGCTACTTCCCCATGGCCTCCTCCAAACACCTTCCTTATCCTCACCACAGGACCTTCCTCCTGATGTCTGATAACACTTGTACTCCTCATTCCTCCAGCAGCACAGCTCCTTGCACCTCTTGCTCCCAGCTCCTCGCACTCACACCACAAACTGAAGTGAGCTCCTTTTAAAACCCAGGTGTCCTGATTAACCTGCCTTAATTGATTCTAGCGGCTTCTTCTTAATTGGCTCCAGGTGTCCTAATTAGCCTGCCTGCCTTAACTGGTTCTAGCAGGTTCCTGATTACTCTAGTGCAGCCCCTGCTCTGGTCACTCAGGGAACAGAAAACTACTCATCCAGTGACCAGTATATTTGTCCTCTACCAGACTCCTGTACCCCACTGCTCTGGGTCTGTCACAATAGGTTTTACAGGTAGAGATTATAAAGGTAAATGATGTAGTAAGCAGAAGACACATGGATCAATAAAGGTAAATGATAAATGAACACAGAAAAAGTAACAGTCTATTATTACGCTGATAGTTGGAAATCAAGCCTGTATCTGTACAATACATCTATTTGTAAAAAAGTATTTTAACAATAGATGTGGGAGTACAGAAGAATCAGTATAAAGTTTTTAGGTCCTTTAGTTTACATGTATTTAATTTTTGTGTATTAGATTTTGAGACTTAGAAGATGGAGTGATATGCATAGAGACAAATGGCATAGATACAAACAGTGAACATAGTTGTTTGAATTTACTGTTTCACATAAGCAACTACTACAAGCTGTAACTTGGAAGGTGCTTGTTTGGTTTTTGTAACAGGTTACCACAACATAAAGACATAACAGAAATTGTAATCTGAGACACACATGTTCCAGGAACTAAGCTGATTCAGAGATCCTTCACTCCCATACAGCACACTTTGTTCCTGACACTGGGCTGTCAGTACAGCAACCTTGGCAGACGGTGTATGCGGTGTCATTGGTAGAGGGAACTGTGCACTTGATATAATAGCAACTGAAGCAAAAAAAAAAAAAGATATACAGTAGTTAACATGCAATTGTAACTGTTCACCTTCACTGTTCAGCTAGCAAATCCACCAGATAAATAGTCTTGGGGCTTGTCTACACTACCATGCGGGGTCGATCTAAGATACGCAACTTCAGCACTGTGAATAGCGTAGCTGAAGTTGACATACTTAGATCTGCTTACCACGGTGTCTTCACTGTGGTAAGTCGACAGCTAATGCTCTCCCGTCGACTCCGCTTGCTCTTCTTGTTCTGGGAGAGTGCTCAGCAGTTGATTTATCGCGTCTATACTAGACGCGATAAATCGACGCCCACTGGATTGATAGCTGACCACAGATCTGACGGGTAGTGTAGACAAGCCCTTTGTGTGACCATCCCTCTCCCATCTTCTTCTAAACATGTTCAGAAGTCCCTGGGAGAGTCATGTAGCTCTTATTGTGGCAGGAGAAGATCTCCATTTGTGGCAGGCAGTGCAAATGGGATGGAATCTGGTCCTCTCCCCGCTGCAGAGAGTTACCATGTTGTGGGGGAATCCCTAGCAGGCATAGTTGAGAAGGTTACTCACCCTGTGCTGTAACTGAGATTCTTCGAGATGTGTGTCCCTGTGGGTGCTCCACTTGAGGCAATTGTGCGCCCCTGCGCCTCTAGTCCAGTTGGGCCACACATGTACTATCCCCATTTTGCGCTGGCAGTCGTGGTTAACTACTGCTCTACAACCAACCTCCCTCAGTTCTTTCTCTATCACAGAGATCCTTCTGAGAACTCTGAAGTAAAAGGGAGGAGGGTGGGTAGTGGAGCACCCACAGGGAGACACATCTCAAAAAACCTCAGTTACTGCACAAACTGAGTAATCTTCTCTTCTTCTTCGAGTGATGTCCCTGTGGGTACTCCACTTCAGGTGAGTGTAGAACAGTGCCCCTCAGTGGAAAGGAGGGGCTTCGGAGTTGGATTTGTGATCAATGCTAGGACCATGAGGCCTAATAAAGTGTTGGATGTCAAGTCTTGCTCGATTATGTAGTGCTGAATGAATGTGTGGTCTGATGCCCAAGTGGCTGCTTTACATATGTCCTTAATAGGTACTGTGATGGGTTGGATCACAGAAACTCCTTTGGGACTGCTACCTGATGTGCCTAAACTACCTCTGAGCCAGTTTTCCCTGCCAGCTTGGGACTTCAGTACCTTGCCTTGTTTGAGCCAGACATGCTTGCCTGCTGCAAACACAGATCCAAGTCTGAACCACATCCCCCACAAGCTGCAGGCTTACCTGAAAACAGCTTAAGAAGTGCTTCTGTCTCCAGCGCTCAGATACGCAACTCCCAATGGGGTCCAAACCCCAAATAAATCCATTTTACGCTGTATAAAGCTTATACAGGGTAAACTGATAAATTGTTTGCCCTCTATAACACTGATGGAAGATATGCACAGCTGTTTGCCCCCTGACCCCCAGATATTAATACATACTCTGGGTTAATTAATAAGTAAAAGTGATTTTCTTAAATACAAAAAGTAGGATTTAAGTGGTTCCAAGTAATAACAGACAGAACAAAGTAAATTACCAAACAAAATAAAATAAAACATGCAAGTCTACACCTAATACAGTAGGAAACTAAATGCAGGTAAATCTCACCCTCAAAGATGTTCCAATAAGCTTCTTTGACAGACTAGCCTCCTTCTAGTCTGGGTCCAGCAATCACTCACACCCCTGTGGTTACTGTCCTTTGTTCCAGTTTCTTTCAGGCATCTCTTTGGGATGGAGAGGCTATCTCTTGAGCCAGCTGAAGACAAAATGGAGGGGTTTCCAGCGGCTTAAACAGACTTTCTCTTGTGGGTGGAAACCCCTCTCTCCCCTGTGTCGAATCCAGCTACAAAATGGAATTTTGGAGTCACATGGGCAAATCACATGTCCATGCATAACTCAGTTTTTTACAGGACGTTCCCAGGAAAGCTCAAAGGTGGATTGGCGTCTATCAAGGTCCATTGTTAACCAAGTACTCCCAATTACTTGAATAACCCCTTCACACTATGTTGACCAAATCCGCCTTAGGTGCTTTTGCAGAAGATATGTTACATGGTATATCTAGCATAAAACATATTCCAGTTATGTCATATTTACACTCATAAGCATATTTCTATAAAGCATTATGGGGTGCAACGTCACAGGTACATTATTAAGGAAGGTTACCGATGTGGCGAGAGACCTGGTAGAATGTATTCTAGCCCTCAGTGGCGAGTTGCAGTTCGTGTTGACAGTAGCAGAGGTGAATGCGCTCAGAAATCCATTTAGAGAGTCTCTACTTAGATATGGCTTCTCCTTTAGATCTCTCCGTAGTAGAGAGAAACAGTTTTGGTGCCTTCCTGAATGGTTTAGTCTGTTCGAAATAAAAGTCTAGTACTCTTCTGACATCCAAAGTAGAGAGTGCCGCTTTTTGCCTGTACTTATGGAATTTAGGGAAGATGGATGGGGTGGTTAAGGTGGAATGAAGAGGGTACTTTAGAAATTAAGGATGTGGTCTTAGGGTGACCTTGTTCTTGAAAAAGATCACGTATTGGGGGTATGCCATGAGAGGTCCAAGTTCTCCTATGCATCTTGCAGATGTGATGGCATCAAGGAAGGCTACTTTCATTGATAGATTTAATAGTGAACAGGTAGCCAAGAGTTCAGATGGAGGTCCAGTAAGAGAATGAAGTACTAAGTTAAGATTCCATGGAGCCATTGGGACTCTGAGTTCAGGACAGAGGTTCCATACACCTTGTAAGAATCATTTTGTAATTGGATGGGCAAAGACTGAAAAACCATCCACTTTATGGTAGAAGATAGAGTGCAGCTTGCAGCTATCACAAAGTGAGCTCAGTGAAAAACCCAATTTTTTTTAGTTCAGGTATATAATCCAGGACTAGTGGTAGAGTGGAGTTAGTGGCTCTGATTTGTTTGTTCTGGCACCATGTGTGGAATCTCTTCCATTTGTGGAGATAAGTAGAGCATTTAGTCAATCGCCTACTGTTTAACAAGATATCCTTCACTTCTTCTGAGCAGGTCATCTCCTCGCCTTGGAACCATGGAGAAGCCATGCCCTCAGGTGAAGTATCACCAGGTTCAGGTGCAAGATCTGGCCTGCATCTTGTGACAGGAGATGTGGGAGAATGTGCGGTGAACATGCTGACCTCTGCTGCAGGTGTGGGAACCAAGTTTGTCTGAGCCACGTGGGGGCTATCAAAATGACCCTGGATTGATCGGCCTTGATCTTCTGTATGACCCTGGACAACAACAGGCTAGGAGGGAAAGCATAAAGGAGAGGTGCATCCCATTTGAAGAGGAAGGTGTTACCCAGGGATCCTGGTCCCAAGCCCGCTCTGCAGCAAAATGTTGGACATTTGCTGTTCTGACTCATGGTGAATAGATTTATGGTTGGGAAACCCCATTGTTGGAATATGTTGTGTATTTATTTCCAAATTATTTATTTCCCACTCATGATCGTGGGAGAATTTTCTGTTTAACATGTTCTCTGTGATGTTCTGACAGCCTGGTAGATAGGAGGCTGATATGGTGATATTGTGATGGATGCACCAGTTCCATAGTCTTAATGCCTCAGTGCAGAGGGAGTGGGATCTCGCTCCTACCTGTTTGTTTATATAGAATATGCAAGTGCTGTTGTCTGTCAGGATCTGTATAGGATCTAATCATGGGCAGAAAGTGTGAACATGCATTGTAAACTGCTTGCAGTTCCAGTATGTTTATGTGCAATGCTGACTCCGGAGGGGCCTCCTGCTCACATGTTGTGTAAGTGGGTCCACCACTGTAGTGAGTCTTTGACCTTTTGTGGTGTGTTGAGAGGCTTGCTCAGACTGTGTTTGTATGGGATGCACACTGTCCTGAGCCATCCTTGTAGGCAGCACATGCATAGTCTGGCATGTTTTACAACATAGGTGGTTGTTGCCATGTGGCCTAATACTTGGAGGTAAGTCCTGGCAGATATCTGTGGGCTGTTCACTGTAGCGTTGATCAGATTCATTAGGGCAGCATATCTGTGTGGCAGTAGTGAGGCTGTCACCTCCAATAAGTTTAGATAAACCCAAATGAATTCTAGTTCTTGTACTGGTGTCATCATTGACTTTTGAATGTTTATTTGGAGTCCAAGTTTTGTAAAAAGTGACTTTGTCTTTGGTGTGGCTTCGATGGCCTCTTCTTGAGTGGGGGCCTTGAGTAGATAGTCTAACTATGGGTATATCATGACCCCTTATTTGCACAGGGGGGCCGCTGCCACTGCTAGAACTTTGGGAAAAAATCAGGGGGCTATGGACAGGCTAAATAGCAGTTCCTGGTATTGATAGTGATCTTGCCCCAAAATAAATCGGAGGAACCACCTGTGAGATGGATATATGGCAACGTGAAAGTATGTGTCTTGCAGGTCAAGGGCCAAAAACCAGTCCCCAGTTCCAGCACTGGGATTATAGTTGCTAAAGTAACCATCCTGAACCATTATGTTTTGACAAATTTGTTGAGGTTTCTCAAATCGAGAACGGGCCTCCAACCTCCGCTCTTTTTCTGGGTTAAGAAATAATGGGAATAAAAGCCCTTCCCTCTGTGTTGTATTGGTACTGGTTCTACTGCACCCAATTGCAGGAGATGGTCTAGTTCCGGTCTTAGAAGGTGCTCGTGAGAGGGCTGGGAGGGGGCATAGATGCTGGAACTAGGGGTGCTGGGCCCCTGGCTTGAAGTGGTTTCTATCATATACAAGGTTTACAGTTTGGTTCAATGGCTCTCAGCACCCCCACTATACACATTGTTCCAGTGTCCCTGGGAGGAGGGACAGGTGGGTGCGTGGGGGGAATGAAGGTGAACTGGATGGAATAAACAGTCTTGATAATTTCCAGCACCCATTTATCTGAAGTAATAATTCTCCATGCTGGTTAGAATGGTGTCAAATAGTCTGTAAAGGGATGGTTGGTAGAAAGTGGTTTCAGCACCTGGAATTGGGGGAAGTCTCTCGGACCCTCGACCAAACCCTCAAATTTGATGTTTTTATCCAGATTGTTGCGACATAAGAGGTTGAGACGGGAGTGGCCTATGTCTTGTGGGTATGTGGTGGGGTGGCTGCCCCACACAGGGAGAAGGAGTTAAAAGCAGCACCAGAGAGGCTGCGCAGAACCCACAAATCAGGAAAGGGCTTATTGAGCCCATCAATGGGGGAAGGCTTGCTGGAGCAACCAATCAGGGCCAGCAAGGGCCATATATAAAGGGCTGCTCAGCAGAGCAGAAGGGAGTCTCTCCCTGGAAGGCAAGGGAGGAGGACTGGCTGCCTGAAGAAGCACCATAGATAGAGCAGTGCTGGGCAGGGGCAGCAGAGTGTGAGGGTGAACTGCTGTCTGACCACTGCCAGGCTGGGGCCTTGCTACAAAGGCTGAGAGGGGCTAGGGTTACGGGGGAAGTGTCCCAGGGAAAATAAACAGCAGGTTGGAGGAGGGCAGTAGATGGCTGCCGGCTATAGGGTCTCTAGGTCGGGACCCAGAGTAGCAGGTGGGCCTGGGTCCCCCCCTCCTCGTATCCCACTTGCTAATGAGGAGAGTGGTCAGTATCCAGACTGCAGTTTTCCCCTGAGGCTAGGGGCTGGACCTTGGATTGCAGTTGGCCACTGAGGCAAGTGGCAGGACTAAGGACTGCTGGTCCCCCGGAAGGGGGGAGATACCAGAGTCGGGGCACAGCTGAAGGACTGTGCCCAGAAGAGGACGCTGTGGTCCGGGAAGCGATGCGGGATGGCATCAGCGGTAACTGCTACAGTACCGGGATTGTTACGGTAGTGGGAGTTGTTGCAGCGCTGGGAGAATCAGTGCCGAAGATGACTGTGCTGAAGGAGGTAAAGCAGGCTTTGGTGCCAATGTCTCTGCGCTATGTGCTAGAGAGCCAGAAGATGGAGCCATAAGCTGAGCGCTGCAGAGGTGCTCAGTACCGAATGTTTAGCTGCTGCAGTCGGTGTCATGGTAGAAGGGGCAGTCTTGTCTCTGCAGTCCTTTTGTGAGCTTGCCCACTTAGGGTCTTTGGCTTTAGCAATACCCAAGGATCCTACTGACTCATAGATACTCAGCCATGTCACAGTCAGTACTGATGATGTGGAGACTTGGAGAATGCATCTTTTTCAGATTTCCCTTTGGAGGAGAGATGGTAACTCTCTTCTTTGCCCATCTTTTGGGAGGCTGGTCCCTCCAGTGCAGGGTCGGTGAGGCAGGTCTGCCAGAAGCCGAGGTAGGCGACCAGTGACCAGGAGGAGTTTGTGGTCCCGGGTCGGAGAGCGGGCAGAGAGACTTCTCCATAAGGACTAGTTTTAGTTTAAAGTCCCTCGCTGTCCTGATGCAGACCTTAAGGTTGTGGCAATGGAAGCACTTCTGAGATACGTGAGCTTCCCCCCAAGCAGCAGACACACTGGGACTGTCCGTCCAAGACTGGAGTTGCCTCTCAGAGACCCGAGCATTCTCGAGTGAAGTTGCCTGCAAGAGGGGTGAACAAAATGTAAAATTAAAAATATTTTTTTTATGGGGAGAAGAAGAAGAAGAGTTTTTTTTTCCTAACTAACTAATCTATCTACCAAACTGTACTGCTAATCCTATATCTAAAGGTAAGTTGTGCAGAGGCACGGCCGGAGCTCTGACTCAGACCAAGGGTGGTTGAGAAGGAACTGAAGAGGGAGGTTGGGTGCACAGCGCTATTAACCACGACTGCCAGTGTGAGACGGGAAGAGTGCATGTGCAGCCCAATCGGGCACTGTTGTTGAAATTCTCCGACTAGACGCACAGGGGTGCATAATCACCTGAAGTGGAGCACACACAGGGACATCCCTTAAAGAAGAGCTGTCCTAGCTATCTCCCACACCATTCTCTCCCCACACAGCCCTTGCCACATGGGTTAGTCAGGGACTGAGAGGAGTGGGGGGAGGAGACATGGGTATATTCCATCTTTTCTCAGCTAGTGAACATCCCCTTGGGTACCATTACCAGCTAGTTCAGATAGGAACAACCCCGTGATGCTCTAATTTGTGCTGGGGACAGGCAGATAATCATGGAGCCACACCTGACTTCCTTTCTGCTCCCCATCCCCACGGCATTGAGAAGCCTTTGGCTGCAGCAAGGAACCTGTTCCACCACTTTGTATAAGTGTGCAGGGAATTACACAAGACACAGTTATGTTGACTGATATTTACATTCACTAGGTCATGTTTGTGAAGGGCTTGGAAGATGAAAAGGGCTACGTAAGTGCTAAGTATAGATATGCATTATGTCAGATGTGGTGTGTGTAAGTCCTAGAGGTCTTTAAGTGCACTTGCTGTACCAGTGTATGGGACTATCATAGCATGACCCGGCCTGGAGCACCCTCCTGCAACAAGTCACAGCATGACAGGTGTGCCCTGCCTCAGTTTCCTTCCCTCGGTCCCAGTAACTTTACACAAGCTTTCTTGCCTCAATAATACCCCTCCTCAGGGCTGGTTTGTTTATTATTAGAAGCCTTATGTAAAATAATCCACCACAAAAAAAAAAAGAAATCCACCCAACATAAAAGCCATTCATCACCTCCAGTGCAAACAGTCACTATGAGCAATTGACATATTTGTCTCACAATGCCCCAGACCCTTTGACCACATGTCACCTTCATCCATGCCCAGATACTGTCAGTCCTCTTCAGGCCTGGGACAGCCACCCCAGCCCTTCCAACTGGAGCACAATCCCACTCTTCCCAGAGGGAACAGCCACAGTCTCACGGCTGGGAGCATCCTTCCAGGGAAGCATCCTTCACTCTCTCTGGCCCTCCCATGATTCCTCAGGGTCCAGGTTTCTGGCCCTGGAGATGTCAACAAGTAAGTTTCTTTGCTGCTCCTCCTACTTTCAGCCCTTGACTCAAGTTCTCCAGCTTGGGGAAAACCAGCCAGCAAACCCCTCTGACTGCTCTCCTGCCTTCATCCTTCTCTGAGGTCCAAAAGATACAATCTCTGGCAATTCTCATCTCCTGCCCTTCTGTCTGAGCAAGGCCCTGATTCACCAGCTCTCTCTCTCACTGGTCTCCTCACCTAGGGCCCAGGTGCCCTCTTTTAAGCCCAATTAATTGGCCAAATTGGAGTGTACTGAGAAGGCAAAGGAACACTGGCCCTGTTCCATCTTCAAGAGCCACTGTTACCCTGTTACAGGGACTTGTATCATGGGGAATACCACTAGCTGGTGCCCCAAGATCCAGAAATTGACATTTTTTTGTCCACTCATCCTTGAAAAGCACTTCTCTAGATTGTCTAGAATTTCAGGCAATTTTCACTGATTGCAAATGTAGAGGCTAGCCTCTCGTCATGGGCTGTACTGGTCTTTTTCGAGGAGAAATCCCAGAAAGGGATTCGTTGCACTGGAAACTCCATGAGGTTGACCTCATGGAGGATCCCTTGGATTGTCCTCTTTACGGGAAGGAGATTTGCCACCACCACAATGGTGCAGAGAGAGGGCATCCAGCCTCTTAAGCAGCAGATGTGTGACCTTAAGGGCTTGTTTACACTTACGGGGGGGAAATCGATGAGTGGTGATCGATGCATTGGCAGTCAATTTAGAGGGTCTAGTGAAGACCCACTAAATCAACCATAGATCACTCTCCCTTCAACACCTATGCTCCATTGGATCAAGAAGAGTAGGGGGAGTCGCATAGTGTGGACCCCGCGGTAAATAAATCTAAGCTATGTTGATTTGAGTTACGCTATTCACGTAACTCAAATTGCGTAGCTTAAATCGAATTTCTCCTGTAGTGTAGACAAGGCCTAAAACACTGATGGAGGCTCAGGACCATGTGCACAGATGCCCAGGTCACCACACACCCCTCCATGGCAGCACGGTTCCCTCAGGATCTGTTCCCTTGTAATCTCTGCCCAGGAACTTTACTTGGATTTTACACTACCTAGGGAGTCATTACATAAAATAATGTTGACAAAAATCAGCATTTGATTAGTCAGGAATCCCTGTGGGGCTTTGGGGGGACATCCCCCTGGCCTTACCCCTTCCTGACCTACAGAAATTGAACCCTACAACATGCCCTGGGAGAGCCCTCCATAGGATAAGAAGGAAGCACAGTTCAGGCAACATGACCCCATGTCTGCAGACTCGACCAGGTTTGACTCTGCTCCCATTAGTGGATAAGAGAATATAGCCCTGTGTATTTTACACAGAGGACAACAGCTGTGAGCAGTTCAGCTACGTCTCACAGCACCACAAAAAATGAATATGCTCATTGTTTGGACATTGGAGCCTTTCCTGCTTCAAATCAGCCGAGGCGCCATTAGATAAACAGAGAAGCTAGTGTTTGAGAAGTTGGTAAAGTGGATATTCATAATACACACTGAAACATTACCTTGGACAGCCCAATACAACAGTGTGTGGGAGGAACCAGTTTTTGGAGTAGGGGTGCCAAAGATCAGGTTCATTACTCTGGTGAGTAGAGTCAGTGTACAGACCAACTGCACAAAAATATTAGGTCACACTCTTGGCTTTAAACAATAATGATTAGGGCTGGTTGATAATTTTCCATTTAACTTTTTTTTTGTGACAGAAAATTGGTTATTTGACTAAATAAACATTTTCATCTTCAAAATAATTTCAATTTCCATCAGAAAACCAAATAAATTTGGTTTTCAGCAGCTTTCATCCAAAAATTACCGAGTTTTCTTTTTTAATATAAAAACAAAAAGTCAAAGTTTTCCCATGGAAAAACCCAATTTCTGACCAGCTGTAATAACCATAATGGAGATTACTGGTTGCAATTTGAAAGTCCTATGACAAGTGTTCAAGTAGCAGCAAACAGATCTTGGGGTTTGCATCACAGTTCATACTACCATGGCTCAATCGGTTTTTACTGCCAAATGATTACAGCTGCAGATCAGCTGCAAGGCTATTATGCCCATTATTGGAGAAAGCACAGTAGCAACCTGGTCTAACCTTGACATTTTTTATAAGTACAGTTGTAGAAATCTGTACTGTTGAATACAAACTTTGTACAATGTATACACACACCAGCTGATGAGTCAGACTTAGAACAAGAAAAGAAGTGTAATGTTTTTGTACAGCACAATGCTTTTGACGGTGTTTTATTCAACTATCCCTTTTAAAGTGTTTAGTTTCACCGAGGTTCCTGTGTTACTATTGCTTTGAGCCACAAATCCTAACACACATGATTACTGCCTTTGGACCCAGTTCTCCACTGCCTGACCCATTGTGCAATCATTTACACTGGGGAAAGTGAGTGCAAAAAGGATGTAAAATGTTACCAAGTCAGAATAGCACAGCTATCGTACGGAATAGCGTCTGTACATGACTGCACAAGGGACAAAGAAAATCATGTCTATTGATCACAACAGGATTGCTCACATGAGTAACGTGTATGCACGTGCATAAATGTTTGCAGCATAGAGCCTATTCTGGTCTTCTGATTTAGAACTAATAAATGTAGGTATGTGATTATTAATATACCAGCCAATTCAGCCATAGATTTATATATAGTTTGTTTATTATGGCTCAATCCCCCCCAGCTATGGACTATAGGGAAAGCAAACTGGATTTGTAAGAAATTAGGTAACATGGTTTTTTACCCACGAAAACTTATGCCCAAATAAATCTGTTAGTCTTTAAGGTGCCACCGGACTCCTTGTTATTATTTAAAAGGTTTTCCCTTACTGAATGGAAATTGTCATTGAAATGGTATCTGAACCACCTGTCCATTATGAAAAATTTAATTACTCACCTCTATTTTTATCGTTTTACCAGAATGCAGTTCCATCAGCAGCCCCCGCCTGGCTCATTCCAGAGATACAGGTTATTACAATGCAATTTCAATATCCTTTGAAGATCCACATGGCCTGCTTCAGATCCATAAGTGCTGACAGCTAAGAGGAAGAATAGAGGTCAGAGTTAGAGGGAGGATAAACAGACAAATTACAGTACCACCATGTGCTTAACAGGGCCTTTAACTCACGACTTTTTGAAATAGTTGTTAAAACCACAGATTTTTAAAAAAGGAAGAAGGAAATACCGTAGATGCTATCTCAATTGCAATTACAAAGATTAGTAATGTCACTTTGGTACCAAAGGATGATTTACTCAAATTCTATGTGCTAGGCAATGTCCCCACCTCTCAGAAAAACAGTCCCTGCCCCTTAAAAACTTACTGTACAACTGACAAGCAACATACTAAAGGAGGAGAGGGGGACACAATCTAAATGGGGACCATTTTTATAGACATTCTCTATATATTGGTTGGCGGTGTGGGGGAGTCTATTATAATTATTAAATAAATGCACATTAACTATACCTGACTGCCCCTCAGTCTATTCAGCATTAATTGGGCAATTTCTTATCACGAATGAGGTGGATTTTTGGAGGGGATCTTCAGGAGGAGAGGGCAAAGGCCTTACAGATCAGATCATGGCAAAAGTTCCATTCCTAGGGAGCACAGTGGAAGAAGGCCAGAGGGAGCTGTGGGAAAAGCAGATATGTGGGCTGTCAAAGCTAGTGGAGTGGAGGGAATACAATAAGGCTGTGTCTACAATCAGCAGTTTTCACCGTCCACCATTGCAAAAGTGGAGAACTAGTACAAACACAGCACTGAGAGAGAGAATTTCCAGGGCCATAACTACAAATTGTAATGGTTCAGTCCATGTACTTTCCTTGCAATATTATATTTATTTTTAGCACAGTAACAATCCTGTGTTGTAGTAAACTATGCTCTTGTGGCATGTTCAATGTGTTTCTGTGTAAAAGCCCAGCATTATTCTCATTGATAATGTTTTCTCATTTATGCTGCCCCCAAATGACTGCTCAAAGTAACTACACTATTGTGCATGTAATTTTGTCCTTACTACTAGAGAAGAATTGATCTTCTACACATCCAAGCACAGCCAGGGCCACCCAGAGGATTCAGGGGGCCTGGGGCAAAGCAATTTTGGGGCCCCTTCCATAAAAAAAGTTGCAATACTTTAGTAACAAGTATTTGGAAATGTAAAAAATAACCAGTGAAATACATTCAAAAATTAATTTTTAATAATTTGAAAATACACGAAATACATTATATAAAACATTAAATGCTTTAATGGTATGTATACATTTGCAATTACATAATGGGCTGTCGCTGGGTGATGGTGATGGTTGGTGCCAATGGGCTGTCGCTGCCTGGTGGTGGC